TGTGTGTGTGTGTGTGTGTGTGTGTGTGTGTGTGTGTGTGTGTGTGTTTACTGATCCGTGTAATGTACTGAATGCGGCATAGGCCTGTAGCGCCTGTAACGATGCGAAGGCTGCAATTTTTTTTAGAGAAAAAAAAAAGGGAATACGTGTGTCATCCGTAAAGTGACTGAAGTACTACTATATTTCACAGAATCTAAACAGTTTTTCGAAATAATATTTCCTTCTTCTTGTTCGGGAAATTGTAACGTGTAAGTACTTCTGCAATTTTTGTGCAGTTCACGCGTAAAACTATTACTTTTAGATACAATCACTTTAGTCCACAGCATCGTCGAACCGCGATTTCAGAATTAAATTAATAGTGTAGTACGTTCTATTTGTATATTATTGTGCACATATTATACATTTCATTACCACGTATATCTTGTACATATGTTTAATATTTGTAAGAAATATAGCATTAAATTTATGGATCTAAATTTTGTTAATAAGACCGCTTAAGAAATAAATGATATATATTACATCGATGATACATACAAATCCGTTCATTTATTCATCATTATACTGGTATATTTCGTTGCTTTCCTCATCGAAATTTTTTCTAACCGATTGATAGTTGACGCTTTCTATATTCCACGAGAAATATTTGATTGGTCTACGCGCTATCTGAGAAATAACCATACGCGTGAATCCAGAAATATAGTACTTCAGTCGTCATCCAAGCGACGCACGTGGTTTATTTTTAAAGATGACAGCCTCTGTATCGTCACAGAAGCTTCGTACGTGTGTAAATCCGGCACCGCGTCCAGTACACAGCGATCAGCGGTGGCGTCTTTGTTTCTCGTGTTCGCCTGGTAGGTGATCGCAAACGAAAATGTACGGAATCTTTAGGAACATACAGAGAAACATTCGTTATCTTTCTCCGTCTGTTGGTCAGTCTCCAGCCGCCTCTTGGGGCTCTCTCTCTCCTTTCTTTCCTCTGAAGATCGCCTCGACGAGGGGAAGATCAAACGATCCATCGTCGAGTCCAGCTCGTTCGCCATTCCTCTTTCTCTTCACGACTCGCGGAGGTGTCTTTTCAGTCTTATCTGGTGGTGGTGTATGGCCATACCGGTCACGTCATTTGCGCAGCGTTGAAGCCTCGCTTCCTCGGTGTCGAGAAATGCTGAGGGCTAGTGAGCTGGTATTGCTGCACGTACGGACTGTTCCTGAGAACGTTTCCACCTGGAGAACCGGCCGAATATTGCGATTGGACCGAGATGATACCGGTTTGCTGCAAATACTGTTCGCGATAGAGTGCCTGTTGGGCCACGTATTCACCGTTCACGGGATTCTGTCCACCGTAGTGCACCTTCATGGTCTTCGTGGACGGCTGATTGGCGTTGCATTCCTTGTAGCTGTCTTGATAGCGCAAACTGGTAGGGGACGAGCCTGGCGGTGTTACGTTCTTCAGGCTCTGCGTTGGACTCTGGGTGATCGACTCCAACACGTGTCTGGGCATGTTGGGCGAGGGGCAGTGATGAGTGTCCTGGAGACCGTCCACGCGGTTCGCGTTTCTCATGTATATAGGAGCGCTCTCCGGTCTACCGCCGATTATGTTCCTCATCCCTTCTCTATCTTTCGGGCTTAGACTCTGCCGCGACGCGTTTGATATGGAGAAACGGTTTCTCGAGGAAGGAGATGCATTGCTTAACTCTGTCATGCTGGACCAGGTCACGCTAGCCAGTTCCCATTGACGAAGGAGGCTGGAAACTCGCTCAGCTCTGGCCGTCATATCGAGACTCTCGTCATAATCTGGACCCTGCAATACCATTACATAGATAACGTTTAGTACATATCGATTAGAATGGCGGATGGCTACCTCTGGGTACATTTTCGAAACGAGGGAACTATATTTCGGTTCTTTTGGTCAAAGATCTGATGCATACTGTCGCACGGTCGGACTTACATCTCCCGAGAAACAAGTGCTGGATATATGTAGATGGGATGTAGCAAAAGTATAGAATAAGTATAACGCATTTTTGGAGCACTTTGCGTAAGAAAAGTTCACACTTGGTTCGAGCTAGTTCCATACATACTACGCCTATTCCATAAAATTCCTCTAATTTCTACAATTTTTCCTACGAGGTATAAATCCAACCGTACGATTTCCTTGCGATACAAGGCCACTGAACGAGGTTCAACCGACGCAATCCACCGACAGGATTTACAACCCGCAGTCGATAAAAGTTGCAGCCGGTCGATCGAATGACCAACCGACCGACCGCCATACGGATTAATATTGTTATTGCGGCGCAAGGTCGGCGAAGCCTTAAGGGGACGTCTATTTTACACGGCCTGATTCCAATGCATTTTGTCGATGCAACAGAATACATACCGCGTAATTCGAGGCTGATCCCGATCGTTCCATAACCGGGATAAAAGCTTTGTCACGTTGCGAATCGTACAGGGAAACGATAACGCGCCTGGCGCGAAGACAAATCCGAGGTAATCGTTAACTATACGTCGATCTTGTCGGTTTCGATGGCCTTTGTATACGTCGAAAAGGGTTACAAACACGAAGGGATATTTGTTGTTTCATTCCAATTTTTAGGTTGGCGCATATATGAAATGTCGTTACACTTTTGATATACTTTCTGTAGTACGATTACAAACAATTAACGATAGAATTGAACGAAATGAAAAACCCTAGAGAAACGACATTTCATACGCAACAACGTAATAATAAAGCGAGCAAGTATCGATACTGTTTTAAAAATGTACCCGGATGTATAGACGAAGTCGAAGGGAGTTTGACGTCATGGAAGAAGCAAAACTTACATTCTCGATCTTCTCGTCGAGCATCTTGAAGAAGTCGAGCTGACTGGTGGATATCTCTCTGTAACAAAAAGAAAACGAAAAACGATAAGTTTGAAAAAGAAAAAAGAATGTATACTTTCTTAGAAATATGTTTAAGAAACGTTCAAACGAGTAATTCAAAGCGTCTTATTTTTACGGAGTTATTTTAAAGTGGCA